CTTTTGTTTTTTAGTGTATTTTCACTTTCTGGAGAGTTCCGAAACATTAATGTGAGGGAAGAAGAGAAACTTGAACTTCAGAAGCTCATGGAAAGAGTCCCTATTCCTATCAAGGTTTGTTGTCTATATATCCATTTACCTACATTTAACCTTATTTCAAAATTATTATTACTGTGGTCTTATGCTTATCCAATTTACATTACAGGAAAGTATGGAGGAACCAAGTGCAAAAATTAATGTGCTCCTTCAAGCTTACATCTCCCAGTTGAAGTTGGAGGGATTTGCCCTTATGTCAGACATGGTGTATGTCACACAATCTGCTGGCCGTCTCCTAAGAGCCATTTTTGAAATTGTTCTACACAGAGGCTGGGCTCAACTTGCAGACAAAACACTGTCTCTCTGCAAAATGGTTGATCGAAGAATGTGGCAGTCCATGTCACCTCTTAGGCAGTTCCGAAAAATGCCAGAAGAAGTTGTGAAGAAAATAGAAAAGAAAAATTTCCCCTGGGAAAGACTTTATGACTTGGGACCTAACGAAATTGGTGAACTCATCAGAGTACCTCGTCTGGGAAAAACAATCCACAAGTACATTCATCAGTTCCCTAAGTTGGAGCTTTCAACTCATATCCAGCCCATCACAAGGTCGACTCTGAGAGTGGAACTTACCATAACTCCTGATTTCCAGTGGGATGAAAAGTTACATGGGGCATCTGAAGCATTCTGGATTCTTGTAGAAGATGTTGATTCAGAGGTTGTCCTTCATCATGAGTATTTCCTCCTCAAATCAAAGTTTGCTGCTGATGAGCATCTAGTCAAGTTCTTTGTCCCAGTGTTTGAGCCCTTACCCCCACAATACTTCCTCCGTATTGTGTCAGACCGCTGGATTGGAGCCGAAACTCAACTCCCCGTGTCATTCCGCCATTTAATACTTCCGGAGAAGAATGTACCTCCCACTGAACTCCTTGACTTGCAACCTCTTCCAGTGTCTGCTTTGCGCACTCCAGAGTTGGAAGCTGTCTACCAAGAGAAATTCAAGCAGTTCAACCCAATCCAAACTCAGGTGTTCAATGCAGTGTACAACAGTGATGACAACATTTTCATTGGTGCTCCTACTGGTTCAGGTTTGTAACCCAACAACTTTTGTTGCCTATTTCACCTAACTATGAATCCAACTAACTGTGTGTTTTTTTTAACTTTGCAGGCAAGACGACCATTGCGGAGTTCGCCGTGCTCCGCATGTTCCAGCAGCACCCGGAGGGCCGGTGCGTGTACGTGGTCGCCAAGGAGTCGCTGGCCGAGATCGTGTTCGCCGACTGGCACAACAAGTTCGGGCTGACGCTGGGCAAGAAGGTGGTGATGCTGACCGGCGAGACGGGCACGGACCTCAAGCTGCTGGCCAAGGGGCAGGTGATCGTGGCCACGGCCGAGAAGTGGGACGTGCTGTCGCGGCGTTGGAAGCAGCGCAAGAACGTGCAGAACGTGCACCTGTTCGTGGTGGACGAGCTGCAGCTCATCGGCGGCGAGGACGGCCCCGTGCTGGAGGTGGTGTGCTCGCGCATGCGGTACATCTCGTCGCAGATCGAGCGCCAGATCCGGATCGTGGCGCTGTCCACGTCGCTCGCCGACTCCAGGGACGTGGCCCAGTGGCTCGGCTGCAGCTCCAACTGCACCTTCAACTTCCACCCCAGCGTGCGGCCGCTGCCGCTCGAGCTGCACATCCAAGGGTTCAACGTGACGCACAACGCGTCGCGCATCCTCGCCATGGCCAAGCCCGTCTACAACTCCATCGTCAAGCACAGCCCGGACAAGCCCGTGCTCGTGTTCGTGCCCAGCCGCAAGCAGGCGCGCCTCACGGCCATCGACATCCTCACGTATGCCGCCGCCGAGAAGACCCCCAACCGATTCTTCCACGCCGACGTGGACGACATCCAGCCCTTCCTGGAGCGGATGCAGGACAAGGTAAGAAAAGGTGTCAGCGTCTTGAACCTCACACTAGCCCACCTAGGGGTCTGAAAGTCTGAAATTTTCCCAGAAATTTTTAGAAAATTTTCCAGAAAAAAATTG